AGATGACACCTATTTTTGGATAACCAATGATTATATAATTCAACCCCGTAAAAATGTTCAACTGGCCTTGGTCAGTCTTTCTGTTGTATTCTTTCAAAGTTACAAACCATCAAAAAGACGAAAACCGGTACGAGCCACCTTAAAACGCGCTCTTTGTCTTATTGTGTGCTTACATTTTTAAAAATCTTTAACCTCTAAGTGTGACTAATATCTCATTTCTCCTGTCATAATCACTGATGAATCAAACTTTAAGGTCTCGAGAATAAGGAGAATGATCAATACCTGAAGGAGCAAATGCACAGTGAACAGTATGGAGAATATGCATGCTGATAGTAAGGTGTAAAGGATAGTAACAGAAGTAAAAACTGCGCGGTTTCTGGTGCATACTTCTCCTTTTAACTTACGTTTATTTTGATGAGGATTGCGCCAACCAGCACAGCGAAACTATGGCAAACGTCTCCAAGCGTGTGAAGAATGGCGGCTTTCACTGTCATGTTGGCCTCGTGATGGTGATGGCCTCCAAGATGTGAATGACCGTTCAGCAAGAAAATAATTCTGCAAGCGAGTAATCAAGGTTTGATTTGTAGAGACACACTGGTTCGTAACATTTCAGAACATAAAATATGTTGGAAAACTGTGATTTGGTAGAAATACAGACGCAAATAGGAGCACGATACACGCTTTGGAGCATTATTATCAGTCTGGTCGTTAACTGTTGGCTAGGGGGTAGAGTAGGGGGATTTTGGAAAAGATCACATGGTTTTCAGGAGGGGAACGGACGGGGAGATCAGTCGCTAACAAAGTAGAAAAGGGGGGACTATAGAAAAACTGACTCTCAATTAACTGAAAATGACGGAGAACATTAGATTATTTTTACAAAGCCTTATGGGGGGAACTCCATATCCCCAGCCCTCCCCCCCCCCGCCGAAAAATAATAAACAGTCCCTAGATAAGTTGTTTTTGTAGACGCAGCGAAAAAATGTTTCCAAACGTAGAACTTTAGTTCACTCTCAAGATGACGTGTTTGTTGATGAAAGAGTGTTAAAGAGACATTTGCATTTTTGACGAACATACTTACATGATATTGGCGCTAAAAGCTAAAGCGGCCGTCAGTATCATTGCGTTGGAGTTTATGTGACTGTGGTGACTGCTGTGGCCTGGGATGAGTCTTAAAATTGATTCATATGCGAGCACGCCGGTCAGCAGCCATAATGTGGCTATCACAACGCATGCACCAAGTATTTCTGTCAATGAAAAAATGACGCAGTTACAAAGGGTGTACATGTAATGAGAACTAACGAGAGGTCGGTGTTATTAAAGAAGGAAAATCGTCTTTACCAGCTCTGTAATATCCGAATGTTTTATTGTCGTTTGGTTTCCATCTTGCGATCCAAGAGGCAATCAAACTCAACAATAAAGAATTCAAATCAAAGAATTGATGGATTGCGTCGTTCATTACAGCAAGACTGTTGGCTAAAAATCCTCCTGAAAAATAAAAAGAAGGGAAAAGCGCAACTTTAAACAAATTATCTCAGTTCTTTGTCTAATGTTTGTAACGATTGTTTTACATTGATCTTTACATGACCAAATACATCACATCTATCATTGATCTAGTTGTCTCTCTCCGCGCAAAGCATCTGACTTCTCGTATCCACGCAGTTTGCAGAATGCTAGTCAAATATAAATTTTATTTATGGTTTGGCTTATGCCGGACGAGTTCTCAGACCATAAAATGAAAAGTCTGCGAGCTAGAATTTTTAGTGGAGACCGACCAAGACTCAGACTCGATTTTGTCTCACGACTCAGACAAGAAAGGATGGCAATTCGTAGGGGAAAAACTTCCTATTACTTCCTAACGGAAATAGTCAAGGGCCCTATGTTCGTCAAGCTCAAAACAGAACATATTTACTATACACACACAACAACAACAACAACAACAACAACAAAAAAGAAAAAGAAAAAAGGAAAAAAATGAAAAAAAAAAAAAAGAAAGAAAAGGAGAATAACAGAGGTCTCTAGATCAAGTGAGCCCCGAGAAAAGTCAAAGCGCGCGGTCAACATTTATTTCCTACTTCAAAAATGATCAAATGACTTTTAATCAGGGTTTTCCCAATTCCAAATTCAAAAGCCCTGCGGGCGTTCAAAAGCCTTTTTGAACACTGCTTTGTGATTGGATGAAGGGCAAGACAGCTCAGATTAGTCTACGTAGGGGATTTTCTATTTACGCTTCGCCGGGAGGATAATATTTCCACGTGAAGCCATGGAAATAGGATATGTATATATGTTAAAGAGGTTACATAAGTGAGGGAGAAGATCAAAAAGATGGATTCGAGAGGGTTTTGATCGAACTATCTCAACGCTATAGAAACCATCGAAACTTAAATGCCACTCAAAGACTTCGAAACCTTGTAGGCAGAACAGAAACGCCGAATTGACTTATTTCAGGTGACCGAAAAAGCTGATAAGGTTCGCAAACAAAGGCATGTTTGATATTTTAAAGAGACTCGCATCCGTCTGTTGAACAAATGGTGTGTACTTTGTCGTTGAATCGAAACTTTAAACAAAGCTATCGATAAATGATACGTTTTATAAAGTTCTCGCGTGAATTCTGAGGATTGAATTTCCTTCTCAGTGTCTATATGGAAGAAACTGAATAGAATTTTATCATGACGATAAATACAATTTGCTTTTTCCGTTTTAAAATGAGTTGAATGGAGCACAATTTGTGTCGTCAAGAGATACACTTTACTGTCAAAGTAATTTAACACTATTTAGTGCTATAGAGCAAAATGAAAAACGACAACTACCTGTGTGTATTGGTGGAATGAGAAAACAATTTTGAATCTCCGCAGGATTTTTCTATTCTCTAGTGAAGATTTGCTTTCATAGAAGTCAATGTTGAAAAAAAAAAATCCAAATCAGGGGAGATAAAAATGGCAAATAAACGTCACAGAATTAACTTCAGAGATATATTTGACCCCGATATTCGTTTTACTCCAGAAAAAAAATTGTCCGGTAAAATTACTCGTTTCCATAAAGATCGCGTAATACTAAAGGCCTAGCTGATTTTTTGACATGAATAGATTGAATAAAATCGGACCTCGCCTCACTGAGAAAGAAAAAACAGTTTGTTCGTTACTGTTTGCTATTAAATCAGAAGGTGAGGTAAATATGATTGAACTACAGAACTTACCGATCACCTCGCAGACGATGAACACTGTACAGAAAGCACATGCTAAAATCAAACGCTTTCTGGCGTCATTTTCATGACTGTCCTTTTCCTTCTTCACAAACTGGCAACCAATTTCTTCATCGGCTTGAGTAAGCTTCGAGTATTCGTTTCCAGCCATAACATTTCTACGCATTTTATTAACCGGACGGTATATTTCAGTTACTCGTCCTGGTTCGGTTTGATACACGGTTAAAATTACTTGGCGTTGACTGTCACGGGATTTCGGCCAGTCGCATTGGTTGAAGCGTGAAGCTGGCCTTGCAGTTGTTCAAATAACAGCGACAAAACAAAGAAGTTTTAACCATGTTTGATATTGAAGTGTTTAAATTGCTTTAATTTGAAATTTGCATACAAAGCAATGCGATATTAAGCGAACCTCGACACTTAAAGCGAGTTTTTTTGGAACCATTAGCGTAAAAATTAGAGAAATAAAAGGGCTATAATGTGTTACGACGCCGGCCACTTGCTGGCTTTCTTGTTAAAAGAACAAAATGGACGAATTTATGATTTTTATTGAGTAATTTTAAACAGATTAGAGAACGTGATATGTGCCTTGTTTTAAAGATATTTTAAAATGTGTATCTTTCCAATAGGTTCGATATATAGGTCGTTTCGAAACTTAGAGAAGATCGGATTCCTGAAAGAGTTGGTTCTGGCGCTTTATCATTTTAGCAGTCTGTAGATCAACATTGTGCAAGTCTCGCAGATTTTAGCCGTCGAAATATAATACATTCTCCTAAAACTGAAAATTGATCGTGTAAATCATGTGTACACCAAGAGATCTTCCTCGGTCTCGAGCATAAACAAATCACATGTATGAAAAATTCGACATTCAGCTAAATTGTATCGGAAAATCCCTCAGATATTTATCAACACGTGTGGAAATTAGCCTTGCTTTTACTGTGCGGTATAACTAAATGTTGTTATAATGACACTTTTCCTGAAATATAATTGATCTTGATAACAGCAGTTTTGAGTTTTGTTTACTGAACGCATCCAACAGTACACTGAACTCGGTAGTTCAAAAAAATTCAATCTCCTCAGAAAAGGTTTTTTTATACAACCAAAAAAGCTTAAATGGTTGAAAAATTGGAAGTGTAAAATGTTTACTTTCTTCAGTCTAAGAGGCAATATTTGTACTTTTAATTTAAACGGTCTGAGTGATATTGACAACATTAACCTTCAGCTTGTGACTTAAAAGCCCTCATGTCAGCTATCTTTGCCATCGGGTTTTAAAGTTATTTTGGATCAATAATTGAAAACACTGCAAGGAAGTGCAAATCATCTTGATTGATGCTATCACTGATTTCGGATCTTAAATGGTTAGAACTGACAAGATATTAGTTTCAGTTTTATAAATCTGAAATAGCAGGGTTTCTCTAGGATGGAAAAGATTTTTGAAGGAATCGGCCGCGTTATTGTTTTGATAGTTTATTTTTCAGCAGCTGTTAATATAAGTAAAAATTCTTTCATGAAATTCCACTTTCATTCATGTGAGGGGATTTTGATCGATACAAAAGGTAAATATATTCTACATATTGACTGTGTGGGAGGGCCGCACGGGAAAATGTTTGGCTTGAGGACCTGCATGACGTACGAACGGAACGCCGTCACTTGTGTGCATCATGACATGAAGAGCCAGATATTTCTCGATATTTTCCTGTTAGCGCGATTGAACTCAATCAATGATTATTTCATCATTTTTGTTCAGTTTTATCGAAAGAGAGAGTGGTTCATTTCTTATTAAAAATTAGCCGACTCCTTGAAGCGCGGGAAAACACGAGTGATCCAGGTGCAGTCGGTCTTAGTTTTAATTCTGATTGGCTAAGAGGACGGCGCAAGTTTTCTGGACCAATCATAGACTAAAGTTAAGCAAAGGCAATAAGCCCTGGGTAACTTTCGAAACTCAATTCAAAATTTTTCCAACCCTCGCATTCTCAGGATTCTCAATTCAGTTAGCAATAAGAAATATTATTACAAACCCAACATAAATAAATATACAGTTATCCAAAATCTCTCACTAAACGTAGGCAATTACAATTCAAAATAGTCACTTGCTTCCCTGAAAGGCTTCGGAGTCTTCTAGCCAAATCAACTTTAGCCTTCAAGGATTCCCGGCTCTGTTACGAGGAGAAATATTGCCTCATTATTTTTCTTCCTATTACTTAAGTTTTATTGCAATTGCCAACGAATTTTTGCAGGGGCTTCGCATTTTGAACTAAGCTTCTAATTTACTGTCTTCATTTTGAGTTTGCTGAGCCGGATAAACACCCCGTGTTGAATTTTTCGTTTTTGATTCAGTGTTGTCGTAATTTTTGCTACAAAGTAGTTTAGGAACATTGCCAGATCGTTGCCAGATCTCCATATTCAAGCCCAAACTTCAAAAAAACTTTCACGAGGGGAATCTGGGTCGGAGGTGGTGCGTTTTGGACGAGTTCATAACGATTGAATGAGTCTTCAAATTGACGTTGTTTTGAAGTTAAAAAAAAAAGCTGTCAAAGTTTTGACTGCTTCTTTGATATCTTTGGCTTTTTAGGTTTCTTTGCAGGTTTATGGTCTGAAGGAAACAAGCCACTCGGTAACAGTCCCGTAAACATTCCATCTTCTTCCTCGCTCTCCGAGTCCTCGGAAGTCGATTCCCAGCCATGCAAAGTCGCCATGGTGGTTTGAAGATCTGTTTTTCCCGGCACAATATTCAACAGTTCAAGTTGATGCCACATCACCACTTCCTTTTCTACCATAAGCTGCCATTGCGCAAGCGCCTGTCCGACTCCTTGGCAACCAATGCAAAGCTCACCTATGAGACGTTTTCGACCAATCAGCGGCCTGTCTTTGACATGAATAACAAGGTTGACTTCGTCCAGAAGATCTTCTTCTACTGTGAATTTTAGTTCTTGTTCAAATTTTGGCTCGAGGTTTTTCTTTACAACCTTTGTTTTCTTTGATGTTATTATTTTTGAGCCTCGCACGAGGTGAAGCTTGACGTAGGAGTCTGCAATTAAACAGAAAAAATCTTAAGCAAAGATCGCCTAATTTAGATATCTAACTACATAGTTCCAAAATCCTTATACATCATTTATTTGTTGGTGTTTCTGTTCTTCTGTTCATCGGTTCGTAGCTTCGTCTATTTGTTTGTTCATATGTTTATCTGTTCGTCCGCTCGTCTGTTCGTCCGCTCGTCTGTTCGTCTGCTCGTTTTTGCGTCTGTTCGTTGGTTTGTCGATTTGTCTATTCGTTCTTTCGTATGTCTGTTTGTTCACTTGTTCGTTTCTTCGACTTTCCGTCGTGCATTCGTTGTAGGCAGCGTGTATTTTCGTCGTATGTTCGTTATGTCTGTAGGTCTAGATCGCAAAGTTTAAGGAACTTTGGGAGGCCGCACCCATAAATACCTTGATATTTTCATGGTTATCAAAACAAAGATGATAATAAAAATCTAAGAAATACTTACTGCACGACACTTTTCCAGGGAAGGGTCTCAGTCCCTTGCATTCCTTTATTTTCACAGTAACCTCGCTATCCCTTCCAAAATATCGCATTGATATCAGAATATCTCCGCGCTCTGCGCCGCGGACCTGAAAGAAATAAAATAGTGTTTAAAAGTGGGGAACTTGAGGATGCTTTAGAATAATCAGGAGATGTATGAGGTTTTGGCAGGAAATAAGCGAAAACCTCACCAGCGTGACATGCTAAGGCGGGAAACGAAAGAACGGACAACGCTTTGGCAGGAAACGAATGGTTACATGATAAGGAGCGAGGAAAGGCGATAAATGTCGTGATCGTAGGACATAATGTTACCCACCGAATCAATCCATCTCAGGTCGCCTTCATATATTGTCTCTTTGGCTTTGCTTTTAAAGCTGACGTCATCGAGCTCTAACTTGTATGAGCCAATCAAATCTCTGGTTGAGATCTGATTGTAATCACATACGTGAAGATACATCTTCTGATCGTCGACTTCTTCTTTGAGAATTTTGATACGAACCTCGTCGTCGAAAACGGGATTAAACTCGTTTCTGATGTACTTTGTTCGCGGTTTATTGGCAGTCATTCGATGAAAGGGAAACATTTCTACTTCAACGTAAGTGTAAACCGTTCCACCAACGAATTTCATTGGCAATCCCTCGCAGTAATAAACTTTTACTCTCAATTCAGATCTGCCAAAAAATAATTCCAATCATAATCATAAATGGGCCTACACTCGCAGATTGGGAAACTCATTTCCCCTACCCCCCCCCCAGTCCCTGTCAATGTTGGTTTGCAAACTCCATGGACACATTACCAATGAACGGATTTGTAAGGGGGGGGGGGAAGAGGTGAATAGATATCATCAAACGCTGTTCTGGAGAAGTGCCCTAACTAATTAAGTGTGGGAGTGTAGGACGAAAAAATACAGATAAGAAATTGAACGGTGGCAGCGGATAACCTTGATAGGGCGTTTTGCTCTCCCCCCCCCACCCCCGTTGTTTTTGGTCAAATTGGAATTTGAACTATTTTCTTTTTGTGAAGGTGTAAAAACCAGAGAAGTTGGGGGAAGAACAGGTTCTAACAACAAGTATAACCTCTGCACCAGTTCTACTCCTTTGATATGGGTGACTACTTTTATTGACTTAGAATAATTCAGCTTTTTTCTCTGCCTAAGAAGTTGGAAGAAAAAGTTTAGCTCTACGATTCCCGACTTACAGTTCTTCGTCGTAAGCAAGAGAAAACTTGATCTTTCCAAGATGTTCCTACACAAATCAAATGATAAAAATAACTTGTTAGTAACCTTTCCTAGAGAATTCACGCCTGCTCGTTACATTTTGATCACAAAGTGCCACGACGAGCGCCGGTGAGAAGCCAGATACGCCCACTGCTTTGAAGTTGGAAGGGTCAAAACAGGTCTGCAATCCGTGCGCATGTCCGCTATGAGCAACCGCGCCACTAAAAACATCAATAAAAAGCTCTGCTTAAAGCTTTTATGCTTTAACTATTAAACTAAATATCAATAGCTTTTCAGGTTCTACACAAGTTCGAATGTTGGTAGCAACAAACGTAGGCCCTAAAAATTCCGACTTGAATAAGCCAGTCGCTATCATACTCCTTACCAGTTTCTTTTTATCTGTCGAGGCCGGCTGCACCGCTGACAACTCCATATCGGGGGCTGCATCAGGCAATTCGACGTTTTCCTCTCTCTTTATCAGGGCTCCAAGTTTTGTCAAAGCTCGCTCCTTTGCTTCCTTCAATCCTTTGTAAGCTTGACGGATACACACCAATATCACTATAACAATGATGATGGCTATAATAATTCCTACGATCATTCCAATCTTGCTTCCTGTAACGAAAGCTATCACCTCGCCTGAGTACTTGTCGACCACTGGAATAGGAAACAGAACAGTGCGTCATTTAAAAACGCAAGAAATTTAACCGATACGGAATTAATAGTGAGGAATTTTAATTTATGCACTCTTTAAAAGGATTGGTGTTTAAGATCGAGTAGAAGTTGAGGGTTCATGTGGAAGACTTTCTATTTTTCTTTTTATTTGCACTCAGGAGTAAAAATTTTCAAATACCGAAGCCAAGCGTCTATCACTGGTTGTTTGTGCCTTTTCTTTTTTAATTTCTTGATGAACGTTTTGCGGCCCTACGCGCATTTAAAATGACCATTAATTTTTTTAATTAATTCACATTACCTTCTTCATGGAAATCCAAGACAAATAAAGAAACATGGGCTGCTCGTTTGATCATGGAATGAAATCTTATACAGAGATTTTCACTGGAAAAAGTAGACAATATTAACCTAAATGAATTCGAGACTACCTCGCGAATCTCTTTGTATTTCGTAGGCGATGAACAGGATCCAGATGACAACGTTACGATACACGATCGTTTAAGAGCTCTCGAAGATTATGTTAAATATGAAATTTTATCTTTCACTTAGAGGAGGTGTGGAAAGATTGTTTTTAATGGATCATCGTGTAGGTTTTTTACGGTCAAAAATGGTTGTCGGTACACCACCCTCTGTGAATTATAAACGTTTACTGAGATAACTAGCTCGTAAATTGAGGAATATTAAATCTTTGTACATTTGACTTACGCCAATTAAAACAACAATCTCCATAATCTAAGCACAGTTTTTTCTAAATGTTCAATATTCAAGACTCAAAGTTAAGCGGATCTCAAGGTTAATGTTCACCCGTTCCATACCAATAAACACATTTGACTTATATTTGCCTCGCTACGCATAAGTAAAGCAACAATGGACTTACAAGTTCCATTTGTTGGCGGAGAAGTCGTCGAAAAGTTCCCCTTGAAATTGGTTGGTGTTATCAAGGTACTGTGTTCCATTTTCGTCGAGATAGTTTGTATCTTGCTTGGTTCTGTCAATTTTTCGATCAAATTCTTCAGTGTTCTAATTGGCGGGCGGTTTTCGAATCTTTCTTAGCCAAAGAATCATGGCCCGCTCATTTCAAGTTGAGGTTTCCGTCAGCTGGTTAACGTTGTTTAAACCGAATTGACATACAAAAAATTCTCTTAAACAACGCTTCCAAAATGTTGAAAGACGTAAATATTTCGTCACCAACCAGATCCTAAGCGACTGAGGGCTTGAAGAAATATTTTCCCCTGGGGGCAAAAGACTGGAAGATGAATTGTGAAGAACTTGCGGGAAAACGCAAATTGTTCTGTTCGAGGTTCTCGAACCTAATTGTCTTAATGATGATCAGCTTTCTCTGCGGTCAGAAAACTGCAGGAGACCATGATGTGATAGCAGCATCGCATGAAAAGCAATGATTCCTTGATCACGATGCGAGGGCAGACGCAAGTGCAATTCAATGCAAATTCAGTTGTGAGCAGCGCTCTCTAAAGTGCAGCCAATGTGTGCATCTTTTTACACGCATGATTTACGGAACGGTCTTCATTTTAATTAGTTTGATGTTTTATTTATAACATTTTCCAAATAAAAGGTAGCATTTTAATTAAATCTTATTTAAACAAGGAGACACAAAGCTCTTTAGAACCGTACGCAACAAAAACATTTGAGCACAAATATACCCCCTGTCTAAAGAAATTTGCGTAATTTGTTCATCATTTCAATCTTCATGTTTTTTTCTTATATCTCTCTTGGAGAAATAATGAGATGTTTAAACCTTTATAAAAAAAAACTGGATTTTAATCTCGCTTTCAAGAGTGTTAAAAGAGTGAAAGATGGCTCTTAAAATTCTTTGAAATGGCTGCTAAACGAAAAGTGATGAAAAAAAAAAAGAAAATCTTTCTGAGTGAAAGAATGTTTGAACAAAAATACTTGAACAATATTAAGCCCTCTGTCTAATGAAAATATAAAATTTTCTCATCTTTTATTTTCGGATTTTTTAAAAATGTTTCCTTGGTTGAAAAAGTGAAATTTCAGCTCGTATTTTTAATAAGAAAAAAATTGACATTCGAACTTTGATGGCGTCGCCGTCGTTGTTTCTTGAACTCCCTAATAGAGCTCCGGGTTGCCGCGGGACAGTATAGGGCCTTAAGCAACGCGAGCGCTAACAACGATGGTTTGCTCGCAAGTTACGACACTGCTGAACCTCGCAGTTTGTAGGACGCATGTCAAATATGATCCTCTTAAAATATGGGCTGACTTATCATCGAGTTCTCTGGAACTCAGTTGAAGAGAAACAAACCGCTGACCCTTACGACAAATGTTCGAATCCTCTATGCTCCACGTTTGTAACAGAGGAAAAGTTCATCTTTGGTTCATTTTCTTGACAAGGCACATTTAATTTGACCTGTATTGATTCTCCGCTAGGCAGAAATAAGGCATTTGCAAGTCAAGGGAGCATAGGTAGCATGAATAATGAAATGCTACGTCAGAGGTATGCGTTCAACAACGCGGGCTCAAGTGTCTTAGGTCTAAAATTTTGCGAAATTAGCGGAAAATAATAGGGCTGACTTTTAAAACCGAGGGACTCTGTTTACGTCGAAGGCATTTTCTTATTTCCAGAGGTTTTTAAGGAGAACATTAATTTTTAAAAATTTTTAGGGGGTGTACCAAGTTTTTGGAGGTTGTTCTCTAAAAAAACAGCGGCAAGGAAAACGACGCCTCGAAGCAACAGAATAGGAAATCAACCATGCGAACGACTCAAAATCCGCGTTTCCGCAGCAAAACCCACCGCATGCGTATACGTTATTCAGCTCTGTCTGGCTGATAATTACCGCTTGAACGTAAAAAACACGAGTGCGAACAACCATCTATCTGGAAGCCTGGGTACAAAAAACTTTTGTTGACCAATCAAACCAAGCCTCTGTATCTGTCGCGCGTGTAATCACTTAATACACGTGAATTAATAAATGTATGCTAGTGAAACGCATGAAGATTACAGAAAGAAAATTGAATGATAATGGACATTGCATAGCCGACACAGCACATTATCTCCGTCTTGACGAGGAAGCTACTGTCTTTTTCTGGATGTTGCAAGCGAAGGGTACCTAATGTTGTGGAAACTAGTAGAAGGTGTTGGTTTGGAAGATCTTGTGCCAATACCAAAATCCCAGCCGGTATGTTGTTAGGAAATTTCTTTGTTTACTGTGGTCTTGCCGCTTGACAACGAAGTACTAAATTGAGTTTCAGTAAATTGAGATTTTTATCAGCTACTTAGAGATTTTAAATTCAAGATTCCATAAGTCGAAGACGGTCCACTATCAATCAGCCAGCAATAGTAAAAAAGACGTGGTTCTAAAAGAATAAAAAGGGTAAAGGAATATCAGTGCTTGTTTCTCTTCTTGATGCGAAGTTCAGTCTCTCGTAGCATATATAGAATGAGCAAACAAAAGAACTCCGTAAGATAAACATTTCAATCAGTTGAGAAAAGAAAATGCTTTTTAAAACCCGTTTTTAAACTGAAGCAAATATTTTGAGAGTAAATGTTCCCGTTTTAATTGTTTGTTTGACTTTGGCCACGAAGTTTGAATTCTTTGGAAAGTTTAATTTAGCAGTTTTTGTTCGCCGTTTTAGTTTTAGGAAACTGAATTACTTCTTGTGAAACTAACTTAAAAAATTAGGCTATCTACCAGACTTTAAAAGAAAAATGGCATCCATGAGAATGCTTTAGATTTTGCCAGAAATGTATTGTTAACAAAGTGGGCGGTATCTCTCTGAAGCAAACGTGCCTCGAATTAAAGTATGCTCGTGTTGGATACACTCAGTAGAGACTCATTGTTGCACTCATTCCCTTTATTCGCTTAAGTTCATGTAAAGGAAAATATCAACTGAAAATAGATCACAAAACGCTAACTGATTCGGTGTACTTGAAACGCAACAGGATATCGAAAAGAGAAACGATATAAAACGAATTTACATACCAACATTTACGGCTCCATTCCTCGAGGGGATATCCAAACACGTGCGTTCACTTAATGTACTAATTGATTACTAATCAAGTTTCATGATCGATAAAGATTATGACGTCGCGGTAACAGAAATGTTGAATTGTTACTGCAAGGCAGCGCGAATAATTACCAATGCACGCTTTTTCGGCGCTCTTCTGATATGGAGCCAGAATCCATTAAGACAATGTGATTTCAGTGAATGTAAGTAAAGACAGGTAATTTCTTTTCCAGTTCAATCAATTGTGCATCATTTGTAGCATTTTCACCAAGTCGTTGAGCGAACACCGTTTTCTTCAGTGTTCGCTTGCATATTTGGGCCCGTATGGGGTTCTACAATGTTCCGCATTATATAGCTATGTGTCGAATTAATCATTAAATTAAAAAAGGGGACATAGAAGCTGAACTCCTCGAAAAGTAAAACATTATTTTCACAGTAGCCTACGTGACAATAAAAACTCTGTTTCAGAAATTTCTCGCGTGCAAATTTCAGTTCTCATTTTATCACAGAAGACTTTAATCTCCAGGGACAGTTCATTTCGATTAACAAGATTCCGGAATTATCTTTCTCTTAAAATTGCGGAATCTTCTGTTTGATAAATCTCTTGAGGATAATTTTGTTGCTTAAAGGACAGCGCGCTTTATTCATTTTCATTTATTTCTCAAAGTGTTTATAAACAATGACATACAAAGCTTCAAACGTAGTTTATATCTACGCAACGAACTTTGTATATATCTGCGTTTCAAAGTTAGCATACATCTGCGCAGCGAACAAAGTATATATCAGCGCGCCGAGTATAAACAGGCTAGAAGTCGTAGCGTTTCAACCTATGGCTCCTTCAAGGTAAGTTGATGAAATGTTTTTAAAAAAGGAACCTTCACACTTTTAACAAATATCCCTCAAAATATTCCAAATGTACTTCTTAACAGATCTGGCATAAGAAAAAAGTTGTCTTACCAAGCGATCTTATTTTTTTCTCGTTTTCCTAAGAAGATTCTCACAGCCACTTCGAATTTCCCGCGGCCGCCATCTTGAATAGTGCGCAATGCACTCTGGACTGAGAACGTTAAGGGTTGCTTGATACACTTACGGTGAAGTTTTTCACCCTTATTGATGCTATATTGCTGTCGCCTGAGGAAAAAGTTGGTGAAGCACTCTTCGAGAGAAGAGAGGCTGGAAAGTAAAGTAGAAGATGAAGAATAAGTGTCAGGTTTTAATTCTAAAAATCTCGACCACCGATCTAACACTTCACGGGGAAGATCTTAAGCAAGAGGCAACGAGAAACAATCGTAGATTCTAGCGGACAAATTAACTACTTTCGGAGGCATCTCCACTGATCTCTTGTGTGGGGTGAACGACTTATTCCGTATACCCCCACTGAACCCATCCTTAACGTCAATAAAAAGAGACGTCAATAAAAATTATTTCTCTGCTGATGAGGCTTGGTTCATTTATAAAGAGCAAATCTTTTCATTTAATGCATCTCATTATATCATCTTGTTTTTAGGGCCGACATTTCTCTACTGGTCATCGCATATTGGGCAGCCTGACTTCCGCTCTTGATGCCAAATACGCGCAGATGACATATGGGGAGCACTACAGAAAAGTAAGTCACTTGTGAGCATTTCAAGGTCTATGCGCGAGTCTTCACGCGTGCATGCGCTCAGCTGCTGAAAATGTGTTCATGTAAAATCTCGCGCCATACTAGTGCCCAGCTGGCGCGCAGTTTTAAAACTCTGGGGAGCCTCCTACATTTGCTTTGCGATTTGTCAAAACGAATCATCCCTGCCTCTCAACCAATTGGATGCAAAGAGAAAAACTAATTGCAACTTGGTCACTCGCGTTTTTCCCGCGTTTGAGGTCGGTCACATGTTTATAAAATGAGGTATACTGTAAAAGAAGAAGAAGTTTTAATTAGTTGGGGCCGGGATGGTGTTTCTGTATGATAGGTTACAACTAAAATATTGCATTGGGATAAGTTGTTTAGGGTTAGATTTCCTTAAGCTTAAAATAAATTATCATTTATTTTGTTATCCTCAGAAAGTTGAAGCTGCTTTGGAGCGTGAGCGCCAGCGATGTGCTGACGTTTTGATCGAGCAGAAGAAAAAAGCTTCCGAACAGAAGAAGTTGACATCGACAATGAAGACACCAGTGTCCTCTCGATTTGGAATAAGACCTCGGCCTCGATATGATTTAAAAGAATTACGTCATCATCAAAGGAGATGCGCAGCTTTGCTTTTCAGAGCAAGGGAACAAGGCGCACATAAATTACCAGTTTTGGTATGTTAAACCCTTTCACACCCATGAGGGACCAAGACAGAATTTCACCTTACAATGCCAGTGCAATATCAAGAGGACTAGTGATGAAGATAAAGAAAAATACCAACTAGGAGATTATTAGTTGATCAAATACCCAATTCTCCAAAGAAATATCATAAGAATTGTATGAAAGTCAGAAGGGAGAATTGCAAATGAGGTCTCGGTAGCGAAAGGGCTATGTGCGCAATAGATCTATCTGCTGAGATTTTCCGAGAGATTTCTCTGCAAGTTGTAAGAAAACCGTTGGAATTTGATTCAAGAGATTGTGTAGGAAGTTGCTTACTTCCAACCAGTCCTCTCCGACCCAGGCTGGTTTCCTTTGCAGTCCTTGTCTGGTCTCGTCATTCAACGGGTTCTTTTCCCGCCACTCGAGAACACATTATGTGACGCGACCAAACGACGGCTGCGCAGGAGACTGGTTCAGCATCTGACTAAATTTGAACACGTTGTATTCATTTGCAGGTCCAGTGGGCCCCCAAGCGACGTGAAAGTTATTATCTAATGAGTGAACGTGTGTACAATGATCGTGTTTTGATGAAGATGAGGGCAGACGCTGGAGACAGCCCTCTTAACTTTGACTTTGCAAACACCGACGGTGAAACGGACAATCTACATGATTTTCAAGAATTAGTTACTAAAACTTCCGAGGAAATCAAAGGGTTGAGCTTTGATATTGATACGAAGTTCAAGGATTACGATTATGACTTCAGTGAGAATGAAGAGGGAAATCAACAAATGACATATGACAAAGACAGGAATGGAACCGAAGAAGAAGTTGAAAGAGGTAACGCAGAGAAAGGTCGGCGTAAAGTGGTGTTCAGTGATCACGTAACGGAGTCAGACATCGATGCTATCGACGCCAAGTCCCTCGCACGGTCCAAGCGGAGGGGACTGACGCAATTAAACAAGGGACTGGACCCAAGCGATATTGACCTAAGTACTGATTCTGGAGACGAGGTTCTTGATGGAGAGTACGATTCAGCGGACGAACAAAGCGCAGATTCACCCGGCCTGAGATTAAAAGATTCTAACAAGTCAAATCGTTCCAGGAAGTCTCGTAGAAGGTTGTCTAGCCCGGATTTATTGTCTCTTTTACATGGAAACTCGGGCGACGAATACAGCAGTGATTTTATGTCTGACGACGATTCAGAAGCAAAACAGTCTTGTGACGAGGGTGGTATACGGCCAACGGAGAATGGGAAGAAGAATCCAACCGGAAAAAGGCTCCACAGAAATAGACATTGTAAACATACACTGAAACAAAAAGCGCAAGATTACTTCAATAAATTACCCAAATTACTCAAAACAGCGGAGCTAAGGGCTAAGCTTCCAGCGAAATCAAGAGAAACAAAAATAGACAAAATTGGCAGTGAAGTTGACCACACATGCATGGAGCAACATAAGATGGCTTATGACAGGGCTCTGGCCTTAGCCAGATTTAGGTCTCTTCCATTTAGTTACTCACTCCTTTCCCATGAAATTAACAGAATGAACTCGTTTTCGTATTTTTCTTACCTCCCTGGAAACCAAAAACCACCGGAAGATGAAGAACAGGGGGAAAATAAGTTGCCGAAGAAGAAACAGGCGCAACCCTCACGAAGCGGAAGGGAGGCAATATTTGGCGATATAGACATGGACGATTTTTACAATCAAGAAGATGAACTTGTCTATTATGTTAAATCCGAAGAGTTGAAAAACGTCGTTGCATCCACAACAACTGGCGATGAGAGCAGTAGAGTTGAAGACGATATTTCTTCTCGGTCAGGAACTACCTACACCTCGAGGTCTAACACAGTGAAACCCTACTCCACTCTTGGGTCAGAAAATGAATTCTGAGCTCATATCAGTTCGAAATGTTTTACTCTGCAACTAGACTCGCCTGAGGGACCGGTGATTATTTATCACGTGGGGGAGGTCGGCCGGAGGTTTTTTGGCTGAGTCACAATAAAATTTACCAAAATTCCCCCTTAAGGTCTCTGATGTACCTTCCTCACTGGCAGTCAACTTTCTATAACCCTGAAAACCATGTGGTCCCCCCAGAGTCCTCCGACCCCTCCCCTCCCCTCCCCTCCCGGGTGATAAACAATGACTGAAGGTTTGATTCTTTCCATATAAAGCGGGTAGAGCAGAAAGGTTTTTGCACAAAAGATCAAAGGCAACACTGCTCGCAGGGTGAAAACGATTGTAAACTGAGAGCTTATTTTATAGTTTTGCACGGTTTCCAAAATGGTTTGAACTTTACTGTCGGGTCAATTTAATTTAAAGAAATTGATAATTTTATGATTACAAGAAAGAATGTACTCATGATTATCAACTTGTTTTAAACTTGTTTATGTTATGGAAAGTTCTTAATCGATAAAGCATAATTTTTCCAGTTTATTTTCTTGCATCTTCCACATACGAAGACGTCAAGGGTAGCCCTATCTTTTCAAGAGGCAAACGTGTCAAGGATGGACGGTTTCATGTTTTCAGGAACCGACAGATTTCATCCTTCATTTTTCTTCGATTTGTCCATTTCCCTTGTTCTAAAATTGATAGATATGTTGATTGATTTCATTCCCCTGTAATTATCTGAATCACCTGAAAAAAATTAAATCAAAATTGAAATTCAGCCATAATTCAAACATCATATTCTCTGAAATATATAAGAGGTCTACATTGCGATCGGCGAGTTTAGTCCCTTGAATGGTTGGAAAGTGATTTAATAAATGAATGACTGACTGAAAGACCGAATGAGTGAGTGAGTAAATGCATGCGTGGATGAACGAGTTATGGAGTGAGTGAATGAATGAAAGGGAATGAATGGATAGATGGTGGGATGAATGAATCGACGAAGGGATGGATTTATGAATTTAATAGATTTATCATGAATGAGAAAAAAGACGAGAAAATGAATTTACTCGTGGATGTGTTTATATAAAATAACTGTTTTTTAGCTCTCCTCTGGCGAACACGTCATAGTCTGTCTATACAATAAGCTTATCTGCTTAAGCGGGCGAGCCTCTGGGCATTTGGAAGGTTATTTGCACATCACATAACAATTACTGTCGTCTTCCGTGATAGAAAATCATCTGCGAAGTTTAGATATATTTAATTTGTTTTATGTGTAATAGCTTTTGGACAATATTGATTCCGAAAGGACGCAGACTCATGGGAGCCTTAGATTAAAAACATAATCTTTTAAAATACTTAATCATTTCTTCTCAGAGTCAGAACTCGCGCGCCCCTTCCCAATAAAAACAAAGCTGTCTGTATTGTTGCGTAAAGTGTATAACCTAACTATATATGTTGCTGGTGTCTTAACAAAGACATGTCAAAGAGTTGAGAAGTCTTTACACGAACCGACAACAGCTGCACGATTTCGCTATATCCGAAATAATAGCGATTAGACATAACAAGAAAGGAATTTAATATATACGGCGGATGAAATTTCTACCAGAGATAAGTTTCTTTTGATTGACGTCCTCTCCTCGAGGCATCTGATTGGCTATCGTCGATATTCAATACATGCAGCTAAATATTCGCTGTTGAGAGGTAGTCTGTATTTACTATACGATCGTTGATTCCAAGGAAATATTTATCATTCGAAGCATTTTCGTTTTGATTCCCTATGCCAAATGTACAGCTGTTGTTTCAAGAAAGGTGAGAGGTTGTTAACATATGCCGAAATCTCGATTTTTTCGTTCAGTTGAGACCATTGTATCTTTTAAGTTTAAGGCGACTTGAAGGCTGCCGTGGTAGATGTGATTTAGAATGGCTGTAAAAAGCGTCTTTTTTTGTATCCGAGAACTGAATGTAGGTTTCACCTTACGTCTTATTATGAGAAGAAATATCTTAAGGACTTACAGAAGTCAAACGAAAACCCGAAAACACTAAATCGACTCCGCTGTCGGTTTATCGACGGCTGCGCGTAGCCAGACATGGTTAAGCATACAGCATCATATCAAAATCTTTCCCTTTTCCTCCAAAAGTTTTCTCATTTTAAGATATCTCTTGTCTGCTATAACTTTTCCAACTTATTGTTTTGTTACCGTTTGCATTTGTTTTAAAACATACTTTCGTCTCTCGAGAACTTTGGCGTACGCAAGACTGACAATTCGATTTTTAGCCCTTTGTGGCGCCTAGACACACACAAGGTGCTTCCACATTAAAAGCCACAGTCACGCTAACGTTATTGTTTTATTGCAGTTAGGTAAAGATCGTTTGTTGAGATGGAAGATTACTGTCTCTTATTGCTACTCGTTTTAACATCCTTGACGTGCATGAAACCCGGTAAGAATTCGTCAACAAATCGATCTAGACAGTAACCTGTATTGTGTGATTAAGGATTCTACCTCGGGACATAATTCAATCCATTTTGAGACTGTATGGCCCCAAAGGTTTGAGCGACATATTTCTCGTAGACTGAAGGTCTGTGATGAGTTGATTTTGGAGTACTAATCTTGGAACAAAAATTATACACATCTACATCTCCTCCTAGATGTAGAGAGGGTGTACTGTCAAGAAAGTTATAGTTCCTCGCTCCTTGACAATGCTGCAAGTGAATAAGAAATTGCCCTCCAGCTATCAGGCTTTAAACTAAGAGGTGTGAATTAATAATAATCGCAGACAGTCTTATGTGAAAGAAATAAATGAAAATACACTCAGCTCAACGTGCAAGAAAATATTGGCTACTTCTAATAACCTGTCACACGCATATCTTGATGAGGGGAAAACGGCTTGTAAGCCACAAATTGAAGTATGTCAGGAGTTGATCAGATTGGTTGTACGAACACGTGCAATTGTGATATAAACATGAGCAGTTTTGGCTATACATCTTTATCTGGTTCAGCGACAGAGGTGATCTATTTTTAGATCAAAGCTGGATATTAGGCTGTTTTCATCAGTAAATTATGTGAAGGGAGTGTAAAAAGTGGGACGGATGTTGTTAGTGTTTAATTATTGGGGTGCCTCAACCTCCAAACTAGGTTAATTGCACTGATTACTAAACAACCATGTTCCAATTGCCCTTTCATTCTTTTTCTAGGTTCTTGTGGGGGTGGAAAAGGCTTGACCTGTGAATCATACCACCCAGATAAGGATATTTTGAATGGAAATGAAACTTGTGAAAATACAGAGTATTCCTGTTTCGTTTTATGGAAAAATTATGTTAACGAAAGGAATGAAACATTTCACAAAGTTCTGAAGAAAGGGTGTTTTCAAGTGTCGTTCAACGAGAAGTCTCGAAACTGTAAAGCTGAGTGTATTCAGAATCCAGAATATGATGCCTTCAGAAGTCACAATGTTTCTGGATTTTGTTGCTGCAAAGCCCATATGTGTAACAGGAATTTTACTCCAGTTTATTACACTGAGTCAACAGAAAGGATTGCACCAACTTTCAGTCCAACAGGTGAGTAAATGCCTATATACTACAGAGCTGTAAATTGGTCAACTTAAAGAACTTCTTAAGTGGGTATTTTGCTGGGATGATGGGGTAATGGTCAAAATGTCTGTGTTAGAACTCTTTCTGGTGGTTGATTCAATTCACATTATCAACTTAGCTCAGTGTTTGACGCTAAATTTTTGGCCAATTTACCCTTTGGACAACCAGTTTTGTTTTCTGGTTGCCCATGGGTTATTTTGGTTGCCCACTTAAATTCAAGAGGCTTGTTATTAAAATCAATAATATTTAATAGTTAAAAAATGTCAATTATATTATTTTTTAAGACCATCTTGCAATAAAATTGACATGAAGTTTTGTCAACAAATGAGGATGTTGTGAAAACTATAACAAACTGTTATCTAATAATTTGTAGTTCACTTGTCACCTAAGCAGTAATTAGGTAAATACTTTGAAAAAATATTGGAGTGCATTTGGCCATGTAGAAACTGGTTTCCATTGTCAAAAGTGTTCCTTTCATGCTAAGAAACATGGTGGCTATGGAAATGTTTGCATCTTCTATGGCATTGGACATGTTTTGAGGTTTTTACCTACTAGATATATTTTACAGGCAAATGAATAAGATGGCAAAGAGATGTAAGGTTGTTTATTTCTTCGTTGTTTTGTATGGTTACCATGTCATATTACTAGTTGCTTTCTTTGTTGCAAATGAGATCATTCTTGCCAGGTCAGGCAAGTCTTAGAGTTGTTTTACTCACCCAAAAAGAATTTTGCATGTCTCTGGCAATGGGGCAAGCCTTAGTGTCAAACACTGCAGATGGGGATGGATTGTAACCTCAAAGAGCAAATTTTAATATTTAATTTATGTCCTTGGTTTACAGATTCTCCTGGGGATAGTACAGACAAGGTTGCCATCGTGGTGGCATGTGTGATGTTTGTTGTTCTCAGTTTTTTGCTGACAGTAGGTGTTATCTATGTTTACAAGTCTAAGTGCTACAAAGCCAAATATACTCCTGCAGATCCTGAAGAAAAGGTACCACATGGACCTGAGCTTGATATCAGTGGTTTGCGCTTTGATCAAATGGTTGGACAAGGGCGCTATGGGTCGGTGTGGAGATGCTATCTTAAAGGGGAAGTTGTGGCTGTCAAAGTATTTCCGCCAGGGCACAGGGACACATGGGAGTCTGAACGTGAGGTCTATGAAGGACAGTTATCGCATCCAAGTATCTTAAGGGTATGGTTGCATCAATGGACTGTTCTGTATTTGAGGGTGGATCACTGTAGGTGACATGTTACAGTGAGGGGTGTCTGTGACAAGCAGTTCTGTTTGTACCATAAAAACCCACAGATAAGCCGCACCTTTTTTCCAAAAATCGTTGCTAGAAATTGGGGGTGTAGCTTATATTCATGCAGGAACATTTGAAAAAGGTGTCATGTTTTCCATTTTCATGTCCAATCTTATGCCTGGGTACTAAGCTTTGAATGTTCCATTCACGTTCTTGTTGTAATGCAAAAATCTATGGAAAAACTGTGTTGAATGAAGAATTCCTGTCAACAAATACCAGAAAAAGATCAATCATATGTTAAATTTGGCAGACTTTAAAGTATTGAGTTTACGTTTGATGAACAGTTGATGAAGAAAACTTTTCAAGACTTGACTTTGAATTTCTTTGATTTTTTTCAAAAAACTTTTTTTCCAAAATTTGAGCTGCGAAATTCAGGGTACGGCTTATCTGCAAGTTTTTGTGGTACTTGTTTGAAATGAAGTTGTGACAGCATGTTCAGGGTGTCCATTTATGAATAAGATGTAGAGGATATTACATGGCTTCATGGGGATACAAAATTTCTCTTTGAGTGTTGAAAAATATTTCACGAGTGAGCAAAGCCAACCAGTGAAATATTTTTCAACATGAGAAGAGACATTTGGTATCTCCAAGTATAATTCTTGATGGATAATTGATTAAAATCTTTCCTTATGATTGGTTATTGAAGTGAGGTATTGAGCGATATTGCACTCATGGCTTCGCGATTCGTGTGATATTGGTTTTTGTATGTGATTTTGAGATGCATAATTCCCTTGTCAGTTAGTGAGTTTTTCGTTAGTAGTAGGAGGTAAACCTAATATCTTGTGTTGCTTAAAGTAAGGGTTTTTTTGGTAAACAAGTTTAGAAATATGCAAATTTGGACATTTTCAATTCAATAATTAATTATTTACTCTATGTAATCTTCAGTCTTATTCCTTGAGTAGTCCAAAAAGTCCACTTGCAGCTACATGTTGGTGACTGCATTTAATTCCTCAAGTTGAATCTATTTACAGTCTATAATTAGAAATTTTTTGTCTTGCAGTTCTATTTTGCAACACAAAGACAGCAAAGTTATGGACCAGAGTATTTGCTAGTGACTGAATACCACAGTAAAGGTTCCCTGTTGCAGTATCTTAAGTGTAACACAGTGACCTGGCAAGAAATGTGCAGTCTTGGCCATTCACTGGCATCTGGGCTGGCTTACTTACACAATGATGGTAAATCAAGGACTTTAATCCTTTCACCACAATTTGCTATGTAAACATCTCAAGGTGGGGTAACTTGCCAAGCAGGGGTTGTAATCATGACTGTAGAGAGCTGGTTTACTTACTTAGAACAGACTCCTCTCAACAGGTGTCAACTACTATCAGCACCACACAAAGGACTCATTCAGGACATAAGCATTACAAACGGACTGAGCAGAACAACTTATGACTGACTTCTGCCACTTGAGTCTTACAGCTAATAACATCACGGCAAAACTGACGAATCATTTTACTCAAACTGGACTAAGAACGTTCTACTGACAACAACCATTCACTTGACTCTGATGATGACTTCCACACAGGTTATTGAAACGTCAGTGACCGCCACCGACAACAGTCCTTCTCAGAACTACACTCACCCAGATGATCGCACTACACTTTCACAATTATGTTACATTTGAAAGTGCATAGCCTGTGTACAGCCGCCCCATTCCCTTGTAAAAATCGGGGAAGGAGCGTCTGTGATTTACCGTTGCTAATCGTGTATGGGGACCACGTGATTTTGCCTGGAATGTGTGGAAAATGATCTCATTGGCTGTTACTCGTAGATCATTACATCATGCGAACCACGGGTTTCGATTGGCTATCAATTTCGTGGGGAATTGACTTCTGAAATGTGAATACTTCTCTCAAAGTACACATTGCTCTCACAATAACATGTGCACGAATTAGCGATGAGTTTGCGCGCTCTTTGTGGGAAAAACATTGTTCAGAATTCAGATAAAAATCCCGTTGACAGATGGAAGAGCTCGCTTGAGTTTTAACATCCGGGAGAAGTAGCTGTCGCTGGAGTGTAAAGTGTCTATAGATTCCGCTTGAATTTGCAGAAATTGCCTGTCGACTTTAAAGAAATGAAGGGCTCTTCTGACGAATCTTTGCTTTGTGAACTCTACGATTCGAAAGATTATCAGCTCTAAATCCTCTTCTTCTTCCGTTTTCCTGTCACCTGTCAAAGTGAATCCTACTCCTCATTCAACCATCACGTTTAAAGCAGTGAAATCACAATTATTTTACCACTGCCACGTAGATGCGAGAGCAGCTCATAGGCGACGATTGGGGCTGCACAAAAGGTTGTTGGAAACAGGATAATTAGTATTGTAATGATTCAAAATTATGTGCCGGAAATTGAGTGTCACGATCTGTATGCTCCAATAAATCAGTTTGTTTATCTTTGTTGGGAAGAATGTCAAAGCCAATCAACTTACGTTTTGATCAAGGTGTGTTCATGAGATAAGAAAACCAGTGTGGATAGTTCTTTGGTTGGTCAGAGACCTTGCCTAATATTGTTCTGTCTGCTTTTTGAAAATAAATTCTGGAAGAGAACAGTGACAGTGTGGGCACCTCACTAATTCCCCACAAGGTTAATGATTTCCTGTATCCAGTGGGAAGACTTGCATACACGTCTTTTCCTTCAAAAAGGGCTTGGAGACATTTTTTCTTGCTCGGTATAGAGTGAAGCAATTTTGAAAACGTCGCAAACACTCTCAATTGCTCAATGTAAAGTAGTCACATTGACCACCATTTTGAAAATCAGGATGAGTTGAGACGAACCACGAAAAATTTGGCCCGCAGAAACCAGTTTTTTAATTTATGCAAAGTTATTCCCATACATGATTAGCAACGGTAAATCAGATGCTCTCTCCCTGATTTTTTAGAGGGGATGGGGCGGCTGTACACAGGCTAAAAGTGCACCAACAACCTCATCCTGGGATCCCAGGCTATTATTTTGACCACAGCTTCGGAGGTTACCTCACCGATCTGGAGTCCCCCACCTTCATGTAAACAGGCGCTAAGATTTTTGAGTTGATCCAATAAATTTCTTCTTTTGGTTCCTTCAAGCCTTAAGTATTGTGCCTTAATTGTGTGACCTATAATTTCTCCTCTTAATCATTACAGCTCTAACTTGTCTTGTTCTTGGCCTTTTTTCCCTCTTACTTTATAGTTAATTAGTTGATATCCCATTTAATTCTCCCTTTGGTCTCTTTAGAACTTTACGTTTCTGATTCCATCTGTATTAAATCAAATTTACTGTCTTTTTGTGATTTAAATTGGCTTCTGCCTCCCTTTATAATTAGAACCTTATGTGATGTCCTTTCCTTGAGACCTTTCGTACGGTAACCAAGCATGTTTATCAGGACCTTTTCACTCCCTTTTTTTCAGATAACAATGAAGGTAAACCATGCTTTGTTCACCGTGATATAAGCAGCAAGAATATACTAGTCAGCCCAGTGATCACTTGTGTACTGTCAGACTTTGGTTTTGCCATGAAAATGCCAGAAATTGGAGCCACTAAAGGAAGTGATGACATTATCACAGAGGTAGGACACGACTGAGAATCCTGCATAATTTCAAAATATAATAATAATAATAATAATAATAATATAATAATAATATAATAATAATATAATAATAATATATGATAATAATAATAATAATATAATAATTTCAAACTCAAACAAACCTGAAAATGGTATGGACTGGCTGTTGGGTACAGAAGCATCACATACTAGATCATTGAATTTTTACTTCTGTGCAAAGCTCAGGTCACAAATACAGAGAAGCCATTTTCAAATAAACATGCTAATTACAGGGTAAATTATCCACTTTAAGGTTACACAATTCAGCCAAGTAAGACAGGACTATCACCAACTGTTGAAGACTTTGATTACAAAAACGATGCAGAAGCTGTTCAAGATTTTGTAATAATGAAGATAATTATCTAATAACTTTTGTTGGTGTCGCATAACATTTGCAACTCGGTGACACTCCTTGTTGAATAATCTTGTCTAAAAATAGTAGTAATAGACCACTTTCATAAATGGCTGCTGGATTAATATTCTTTTGTTTAAATTTAAATTAGCCTTTCTGGCCTTGTTCTCCAGTACAAAATTCAAAAGAATACATTATCTCAAGCAAGGCCAGAAACGCTAATTTAAATTCAAACAAAAGAATATTAATCCAGCAGCCATTTATGAAAGTGGTCAATTGTATAGTTTTATAGTTTAGTAGCAGTGTTTTTAGAGAACCCTTCCAAAGGATCTTGAGATTAGTTTATGTTTAGAACCTTTCCAATGATCTAGAGATTAGTTTAGTTAATTTTTTTGTTTTGGTGGACCAACAATCATTTTCTTTCCCTTTGTGATGCATGCTTCAGTGATGTTCATTTTATTTGAATGTAATTTTGATATGAGCAATAAATCTGAGATTAGGTCACTAGTCACAATTGGCATAATCTCAATGCTCTGACATTTTCTTTTGCAGGTTGGAACACTTCGTTATATGGCTCCTGAAGTTTTAGATGGAGCTGTGAACTTAAGGGAGTGTGAGGCATCGTTAAAAGAAATTGATGTTTATGCTATGTCAATTGTGCTCTGGGAAATAGGAATGAGGTGTTCTGATATTTATGGACGTAAGTTTTTGTTTGTTATAGGAGAAGTATGTTTCAGAAACTGCTCAGTGCTTATCTCTGCTGTTAAAAAGTGGACTGTATTTTATGCTGGAGTATTAACACTCCCAGTCTATTCATGCTATAAAAATAACGGCCTTAGCAGTCTAGGACCTTCAATTCTTTTTCATCTTGAAGGCAGACTTGACCAATTCATTTTGGGAGTTTTCTGTCATAGTTACCTATTTGTGGGTTGTTGTAAATAGGGACTTTAAGCAGTCAGGACGGCAACACCACGGAAGACATCGATTAAAAAATGAGTTTCTACTTTTGGTTAGAATTTCGAAAATGGCTGCATGTGTTTACCGTCTCATAGGGCACCAGACCTCAAACTCAACATAACACATAAAAGTAGCGTTGAGTTCCAAATGTAAATTAAAATAATTTGCCGCCATGGTTTTGCTTTGCCGACGACACAAATTTTGGTGATTTCACATTGTTGTTTTGCAAAGGACGGCTAAGAAATGTACAAAGTTGTAAAACGCACGTGCTGGGCTATTGTTCGTCCAATTAGATCTATCGTTTTTCCACGTTCTCGTTACCGTTGCCGTCGTGGTTTTTTTTAAAGTCCCTAATGTGTCCCCCTTCGCATTCACCTTTTCTCCCATCCAGGCGAGCCTGTGCCAGACTTCAAACCGCCTTTTGAAGCTGAGCTGGGCTCATCCATCACCAGTGAAGACATCCAGGATTATGTTGCCAGGCAGAAGAAAAGGCCAGGGTTTCCAGATGTGTGGAAACACAATCATCCTGTGAGTACTTTTTGATGCAGTTGTAAATGTGGTGTGATTGTCTGAGAGAGGGTACTTTTTAACAGTAAGGTTGTCAATGATAGGGATCAAATTTCAGAGAACTAATTTTACAATCAGTAACTCTGATGAGAACCTCTGCTCAGCTTGTCAAAAGGTCAACTTCTGTCTTGAATAACAGTCTTTTAGGACTATTCTCATCTTGATGACTAGAGCACATGATCCTTTGTTTCTCCTATTTTCTGACCACTTATTTTAGTTTTAAAGCATTACAAGTATCAACTACTTGGAAGAAATCTGCAGTTAACTAGACAATTGCTTATATTTTGTTGTTAAAATATCCTGTCTGAAAAAGGTTTGAGAGAAACTGTTAGCTTAACAGTTACAAGTCTTTGAGACAGTTAAAACTTAGTAAACAGGACAAAAATTAGTCCATTAATTTTGTAATTCCTAGATTCAACCTTAATAAATCCTTAACAACCAAGTAAGTCCAGTCACGATGGTTGCAATTGACCCTTGTTCTTTTTTTGTGTCTTAATTGACTATAAGGAAGGTTAAAAAAAAAACAAAAACAAAAAACAAATAAGCAAATTTTGATCATATGCTTGGTTAATAGTACCTACATCTGTTCTTACTCTTAAGGGTCTAAGAACATTGAAGGAAACCATAGAAGATTGTTGGGATCAAGATGGGGATGCCAGACTCTCTGCGCTGTGTGTGAAGGAACGTTTCTCAGAATTGTTAAAAGACTATCCAGATGGCCTTGTCTTCACATCAAGTGTTAATCCTGTGCAGAAGATTCTCCAAAACTACCCCACAGCACACTCACAGAGCTTGTCAAGTGTAAATGGTCCTGTGTCCAGTGTCCCACCTATCATAGCTACATACCCATGGGTGGATAAATCCTCAAGCAACAGTATGACCATGACTACTGTATGAATATGAACCTAAAAAATCGTGAAATAGCTGGAGGAAATGAACTCTGAGTTTATCAGAGAGAACATATACTGGAACTGGACTTCTCTAGAGAAGTCAGTTGCATATCATACAATTGCTACCATTTCATGATTGCATTTGAAGCCTATGTTTTGCTAGGAAAGAAAACCAACTTCCATGGCTGCCAGCATTTAGTCTTTGTGCCTTGGTAAACTTGAATACAGAGTGTTTATAAGGAATAAGAATTTTCGGCCTAAATTTTATTTTTATCCCAGATGCTGAAATTATTTTTCTGTTACAACATTTATGTGCCGATAAATTCCTGGAGCAAGGGTTTCAATATGTTGGTAACCGGAAGTCTATTGCCACCTTAAAGACCTCTCAAGGCTGTCTGTTTAGCCTGTGAACAGGTTCTCATGCTTGGATTTTGTCATAGAGGATGCAGCCAATTTTGCCATCAGCAGGCATGTATGGAAAAAGTTATTGAACCCCCCCCCCACCAGATAAAGGGTTGATTTTAATCGCATTGCTTGCATGACTGTCCTGGTTTTCTGAAGAAGACAATGCTGTGATTTGGGCTTGCTTATCAGTGTATAGGAGTAGTTTTCACGAACATTTTCTCCTTGATAGACAAGTGCTACATTCCTCTACCTGTAATGAAAAAACTGTTGAATTGATGTTTGTATATGAACAGTAGTCAGTGTACTGAAGCCATCATAACAGTGTGCAGTTTGGGACAGTTGAAAGTTACTGTAACATATCTTTGTGAAAAGACAAGTAGATGTTAGTTTGTTTTTGTAAATAGAAAATAAAAGAAGGTGATCTGAGCTAATTTGTCGATGAAAAGAAAGATATTACTCATTTTTCACAAATGAGGGAAAACAAAATGCCAGATTTACTTCAAACTTGTTCAGGGAATAAAACTCGTAAACAAATGGGCAATGATTTGGTCTTGTTTTCTAAAAAAAAATATTTTTCACTGGCTTTTATTCAGTCCTCAGAATCAGATAACAGCAGGGATAGCGACATGGCATTTTTGCCAATGAAGAGTAAGCCAGTGCTAAAGGCATGCACATTTTACTTTAAAAGACAGTGAAGGATATTTTGATATTTCTTTTCTTCCATAATTTTTTAAGAAATGGGAGGATGGTTACTGGGCAGGGTCCTTAATTCAACACAGCCCTAAAATAAGCACCGAGTCATAAAAATAGGCAATGTATTGTTAATTGATTATGTACAGAAACATTTGTGTATATATTAGTCTCAAGAACTACATAGGATTCTGCTGTTTTTAAGGAAGTGTGGATGTCTTTCTCTACATAATTTGTGCTGAGTAAACTGTTTGCCTCAAGCTACAGATTCATAGAATAAAATCCCACTTAAATGTTTGTCTTTTTATGACATTCTGTTGTCTTGTCAAACACCTTTGCAATGTATTAAATCAATTAAAATTGTAAATTAAAAAAGGATTAAAAGATACGACAGGAGGCCTTGTATACTATACTTTTGGTTTCTGGCTGTGACAGGTTGTTGTAACAAAATTGTACTTAGTTTTGCTCCTCTCAGTTAATATTCATGTTTGTTTGTGGTTTTATCAAATTCATAGTGGTAAAATTTCATTTCATTTATATACCTATTGTAATCTTGTTTAGAATACATCTTGTTTGCAGTGAGAGAACTAAGAGTGATTCCAAGCCCTTAGAAGTTAGAAGAGATTCATTTAGTTATCAATGATTTATTTTATGTGGAGAATTGTATAATTACAAAAATTATCAATATCTGCAAAACATTTAGAGTTTTTAATAAAATTACTTTTTGGCTAGCAGTTTTCTTGATGTCTATTTTATTCAAGACTGCAGTTTAGGGAGGGATACCTTGAGTGGAGTGATACTGATGTACTGGATCAGTCAGTTTGTTTGGGTAATATGATTTTTAGTGTCATTTGGAACAAACATCAGCAAGCACTTAGAAGCAAATAATTCAAAGACCACAAGTTTGTCTGGTCTGTGAAAACTAAACAACAGTATATATTTTTAAAATATTTATTTTTGAATTTTATAATGTATTATTTCTGTTGTCATACAATTTTCTTTCAAATTATTTGCACTCCTCTCTGGTGCTTTTCATCAATACTTTAAATTAAGTAATACAAAGGAACTATCCCTTATTTAAGGTATAAATGCATCTACAGTACAACTGGCACACAAATACAAGTATTTACAATGCGTAGTTTAAAGCTACTGACCACAAATTTCACAAAATAGTAAATTTGAAAGCACCAGTGATTCAAGGTGGCTCTAAAAAAAAAAGCTGACTTTGAGCCAAAAATTCAATTTTAATTTGGAAAGGAAGTATGGAAACTGCATCTCTACTGCCAGCAGTTTTTAAAATGATGTTCTTGCGACAATTTCATAAAGAGAGAAGAGATGATTTTTGTGTGAGTTCACAAGTTTTGGGCCCTGAATTAGGTGTTATGTTTAAAAACACTTTTTAAATAGTTATTCTGGTATCCTCTTGTAATGGAATTGGGAAGAATGTAGTCCCTTGATAAGTGGTTCAAGATTTTGGTGCACTTCTTCTGACATCAGTAAAGAATTGATGACTCAAGGCATTCCTTGCTGAAATGCGACTGGTTGGTTCATATTTAAGCATTTGCTGCAAAGTAATAGTAAAAACAAACTATTGACTGAAAGATATTCCAAGGACATTTAAAGAAATAATCTTTCAAACTTCTTTCATGTTCATGGTCACAAAGTATTTACTATCAAACCAATCAACCATTTTAGCTAATAAAAGAAGACTACAAGTTGGGTGGAAGAAATATCTTTTGGGATAACTAGAGTCATTTTAGCCTGAGCTACTAGGTCAGGGTCAAAATGAGCTCTTGAGAAGGGCCTTAGCATAGTTATGCCCAAGAATGAACTGTACCACAATTATCATCACGTTAGAGGGCAGTGGGAAACTGAAAAAAAAAAAAAAAAAAAAAAAAAAAAAAAAA